TAGCTGGTTTCTTTTTCTTCTTTTTCTTCAATTTTTTTTGTCTTGAAGAAATCCCTACAGACCTTTTCTTATCGATTAGTTTATTACATCGAGGAAGCCAGATCATATCATGAAAGAGTTGAATAAGATGATTAGTTGTTAAGCCAATAATAAGAGAGGTATTGACCAGAGCAAATAAGGAACGTAGTAAGTGAAAACGTTCAAAAGGGATCAATCCTTTTGTTAAAGATAAACCGTATCTAAACGAGATTGAAGATCAACACAGTTGTGAAGCTGAGATTTCAATGACTGAAAAAGGGTTAGACGAACAGGATTCTTATCCAATTTGCTGATGATCGTTTATTCCAAAAAATTTCATAATGAGGCTTTAAGATTAATAATGGTGGCTTGGTTGGCAGGACAGGTCCATAAGTGATTGAGATCTTCTGCTGCATTATCGCAGGTGATACAATTCCAATTATCATAGAGATCTGGACATTATACGATGAGTTTGTTTAATGTGGAAAGTTCTTCAGCAAGTATTTTAGTTTTGAAGGCCTTCTTGTTTCTCTGGATAAAAGTTGTCATAGTTAGTGTATCATCTTGTAAATTATAATTATTAAAAGAAGGAGGCCAGAATACTGAAAAAGATCTTGTGAGTCGTAGTAAAGAGGCATTTCTCTATAGGTTGATGAAAGAAGAGAAGTGTTCAGCTGAATTTAGGTCTTTCTAGAATTTCCTTAAAGAAAATTCAATTGGAGTATTGTTGAATAGCATTGTCAGTTGTAGATCCTCTATGGCAGAATAATTGAACTGAAAAATCAGCTGAGAGCAACCATTTTTTGCAAGAATATCAGCTTTATCATTGAAAAAGTCTTTAGAGTGTCCTTTAATTTTGACAAGAGTGATGGTCAATGACAATTGTTGTATAATGTGTTGCAGTAAGATCCATGTGGCGTAATTGGAAATCTTCTCTCTTGATCTTGTAGTTAATACGTTGTTTATAATATATTGATCAAAACCTTGTATAATTGTTTGACTATCTGTGAAGATCTGAGGAGAAGAAGCCAAAGGACAGGTAATAATAGCTGAAATAAGAGCGAATAACTCAGCTCTAGATGATGAAGGATTGTTGTCGATAGAAGCATTAAAGAAACAAATTGTGAATTCGTAAAGGTCAGGACAAATCCAACCTATACCCATTGAACAATGTTCGGTAGAAGCATAAGAAAGTGATCCATCAGTGTAAAATGTCAGTGAGAATAGATGTTGCAGGCTGGTAGTCAATTAAATGAGATGATCTTGCTGAAAAGGATCAATGACTAAACGTTTACAGCTAATTTCATAATTCGTGGACCACTAATAAATTGCGACTGAATGCGACTGAAAATATTTTATAATAAAATTACTATAAAATATTGCGACTGAATGCGACTGAAAAATTATTAATGGTCCATGAATTATGAAATTAGCTGTAAAAAACGTATTATTTCTGTATACTTTCCTTATACTGATTATTTATAGGGTAATATCTAATTTAAGATAATAAAGTAAAAGAAAATAAAGTAAATAAAAAATCATAATAATAAAAAAAAATTATATATGTTTTTAGTTTCTAATATTAAAGTAAGTTAATAGAAGTCTGTATATTTCTGATATAATCATACTAGAATTTTACCTTAAGTTGATAAATCCATTTTTATATTTCTATAAATTTTTTAAAAACTACTAATTTAATTTGAATAATTTTTTTTTTATTTTGTAAAACTCATTAAAGGATTATAAAATAAAAAAAATATTGATTAAAATTAAATTTTTAATGATTAGATATTTAGATTTTTTAATTCTTTAAAAAAGAATTAATCTCTAAAACTTGTATTTATAACTTGTTTTAAAAATATCTGAGTTCTTAAAATAATGTTAATTTAGTATTAGAATAGTAATATATATAACATAATTATTAAGTAGTAGTTTTAAAATATCTCATCTTATTAGATTATCCAATCATAATAAAAAAGTAAAACTATATTATTATAGATTATAATACTATATAATAAAATTTAAACTTGCTATTTTTATTAAAATAAAATTTTCAAAAGAAGTTCAATAAATTTTTTGTTAGATCTTATTACATTAAATCGTAATCACATTTACTACCTTATGGATTCACAATAAAAAAGTCTGATTTAATTTGACTAAAAAGACGTCTTGAAACAATTTCAAATTTATCTGGTGATACTATATATCGAATTGATCTGGTGACATATAAGAATGATATTTTGCTATTATAATATACTTTGGTATTTCAAGTCCACGTAGTAAAGCATCAGCTTCTGTGAACATCACGCCAATTGTGGCATTCGCAGAGTTTACAGTGCTAACTAATAATGAAAACTAATAATTTGATAATCTTTTTAGCTAAACAGCTTGGTAAAAAGTATATGATTGAATAACATAAGATCCTTACTCTGTTTTTGAGAATAACCATCCTAGCTGAATGAGAATCAATATATTACTTTTTATCCTTTTTGTAAGTTTCAATCAACCTTTTCGTCATAAGCTTTCCCGCATTGTCAAATTCAGACGACTTGCAGATATTCTGTAAGTCTTCTTTATAGAAGTATAAACAGTCCTTCTTAACGTATTCTGGTCCGTCATGTTCTAAAATAAAAGACTCAAGACTCCATTTATTGGGAGGATTTGTGGAAAAGTATTTATCTATGAATCCTTTCATAGTCATTTCTGTCAATTCTGCAAAGTAAGTAAAGTAAACTTGTTGGATACAGGAGTGAATATGTGAGTAGATCTTTAAAATATTGTTATGTGACTAGGAATGTTAACAATCTCAGGGAGACAGTCTAGATCATGATCCAATCATAAAACCGATCTTGGTCTAATCTGAAGGTTGAGATTGAATCGAATCAGATTGGACTGAATTGATCCTTAAGACCGATCCTAAATCAATTTTATATAAAATTACACAACAAGTAATAATGCATCATAACATTGATCATTTTTAGCCCAACCAGCCCAATTTTTTTGGCATAATATTAAGCATGGCAGACATTTGTATGATTGGTCAATTTTTATGTAGATCATTTCCTAATTATCAATGAGGTGATTGATTTTGATTGGCTCAAATTTTATTATTAAATTAAATAAAATTTTTTTAAACAGATTATATTTTTAGTTATTATTAAATATATCAATAATAAATTACTAATTATATATATTTATTAT